AATATTATTTAATTCCGAGCTCGCTAATGGTCATCTTACCTTCTTTTACGGCATTTGTTATTATCGTACCGTGAACTCGATTAAACAGTCTTCAACTGGCTCTCTCCCGTAGGTACTTTATCTCGGTAATGTAGCGCTAGGTTTTGATTGCGCAATTATTCAAAATAATGTAATTGAAATTCCTCACTGTCCGACGTGTAATAATAAAGCGCGTTCACATTAATTAAATACTTAATTAGACGAAATTTATACGTCGCATCAAAATTTTATTACTTGTACATGGGAGGCTACGTTTTGTTCGATTCTAACGTCCCGCTGTTTGTCTTTTCTTTTATTTGAAATGATGACCACACCTTAATTACTGTAATAAAAGGGGTTGCGGTTGTTAATTGTGATCGTGTAATGAGGACAAGTACTATACGAGGGTGGATTGATAAGTTTCCGGCCTAACCAAGAGATGACGCCACTAGGCCTACCTTGAGGTGACATTCTATAGTACCATCCTTGGATAGCTTGTAGCTATAGTTTCAGCCCGATCTCCTTGCTAGTGTAGGTTTGACAGCACGCTGAACAAGACGCCTCTGTGGTTTTCGTAAAAATGGAAAAGCAGGAAAATCGTGCTGTCATCAAATACTTTTATTTGAAGGGGTTAACGCCGAAGGAAATTAAAAAAGAGATGGACTCAACACTGGGGACATCCTCCCCGTCATATTCAACCGTTAAGCAGTGGGTTTCCGAGTTTAAAAAGGGTCGTGTGAGCACCTCTGATGGGCCTCGCTCAGGACGCCCCGTTGAGGTCACAACTCCAGATATGATCGAAAAAATTCATCAAATAGTGCTGGGAGACCGCAGATTGAAAGTGCGTGAGATAGCTGAGACCTGTAAGATGTCATATGAACGTGTGCAACATATTTTGCACCAACATTTGCATATGGAAAAGCTCTGTGCAAGATGGGTGCCGCGTTTGCTAACAGTCGACCAAAACTTGATTCGAAAAAACATTTCTACCGCAAATTTGTCATTGTATAAGCGTAATCCAAGCGAATTTTTGCGTCGATTCGTAACCGTTGACGAAACGTGGGTCCACCACTACACTCCTGAAACCAAAGAACAGTCTAAACAGTGGATTGGACCAGGGGAACCAACTCCAAAGAAGGCAAAAACAATTTTTTCGGCGAACAAGGTTATGGCTACTGTTTTTTGGGATGCAAGAGGTATTATATACATTGATTACCTTGCAAAGGGTAATACTATCACTGGTCAATACTACGCAGACTTATTGCAACGTTTGAGCCACTAGGTGAAAATTAAACGACCTCATCTGGCGAAGAAAAAAATCTTGTTTCATCACGATAACGCACCAGCGCACACGTCAATCGTTGCGACGGCTAAAATCAACGATCTAAAGTTTGAATTGATGCCGCACCCTCCTTACTCTCCAGACCTAGCCCCGAGTGACTATTTTCTGTTCCCTAATCTCAAAAAATGGCTTGGCGGTAAGAGATTTGCGGACAATGAAGAAGTAATCGAAGCTGTAAATGGTTATTTTGAGGAGCTTGACGAATCAGTCTATAGAGATGGCATTAATAGACTGGAACACCGCTATGAGAAATGTATCAGCCTTGGAGGAGATTATGTTGAGAAATAAAAAAAAAAAATTTTTGAAAACCTTGTTTTTCTTGGTCAGGCCGGAAACTTATCAATCCACCCTCGTAAATAATCGGTACGTTATGCATCTGAGTACATTAAATCTGTCTTTTTACACGAGTTTCATTCTCAAGAGTTTACAAACTTGTCTGCCATTTTTATACATTTCATCTTCATCGTAAGGTCGTCAATCCTAATAATAGTTGAACACGCACATCCACTCTTTCCCTCAGGATAGGAAAGACCTTCGTACCTGAGAAGGTGTCCTACTAACCTATCTTCTTAATCATAAAGTCCTCTGTTCTCCTATTCTCTCTAATATCTTTCACACATTTCAAACGCTTCTAACCTTTTCTTTTCCGCCGCTCCCACCGTCAATGTTTCGCACCCATACAGCGCCTCGCTCCAAACATACACCTTTAACCATTTTTTGCGAATGTTTGCATTAACCGATCGCGAGCATAGAGATGACTTCTGGTAAAGATCTATATGAAGGGGGTGGGGGTGGGGGGGTCGAAAGCGGAGGTCTGACTTCTTTTTATTGAAGGCGACTCGACCCTGCGCTATCCTTTATCCTTTATATCCCTACTACTCCTTCCGTCCTGATTTATCTGACTTCTTAGATACTTAAAATCATAAAATCAGCCACTTCTTCTGATCTTTCGCCTCCTACCTTTACATGTTTTTTTTTTTTTTACCTCTTTCCCTACTTTTTCTTCCTTTACATACCAGTATTTTGTTTTACTTTTATTTGTTTTCATACAATACTGTTTTGTCAATACCGCTTCCATATTATTTAAAGCTATCTGTAACTCCTCCTTGCAAGATGCTAATACTTCTATATCATCTGCAAATCGAAGCATAGTAATCTTTTGTCCGTGTATATCTGTCCCTACAATTGTACTGTCTGTAATGATGTTAATCGTGTTTTCGATGTATAGATTAAAAAGTAGCGGTAACAATGAGAGAAAAAAAAATAGGTAAAAAAAATCAGTTTTTGGTGATGTTGTTTGATGCTGCGTGAATCGAATCGATCGAAATTTTATGTATCTCCTTATGTCTTTATACTAGTTACATTTCCACAGGATAATGTAAATCACAAAGCAGACAGCTTATTGCTTTATTATTTATGACAGCATCCGTATCGATTTGAATTTTCCAGAAATTGGACAATGGCAATTAGTGTAAAGTCATGACGAGATCGTCAGATTGGTTAGTTCGTGAAACATCACTTACCATTAGCGATTTGAAACTAATAAAGAGCGCTACATCTTATCTAATAAAACCCTTAGTTATTCGGGATTCATAACAATAAAAACATGTATTTTAAACCCCCAAAGGTACGACTCTGTTACTTTGGAGCAGAAAGTCAAATTTTTATGAATTTTTAAACAGATAGAAAATGTTGAAGATTTCAAGAAAGGATTTGATATTAATTGTTTTAAGTTCATTTTTAAAAAGCATCTGTTTTTCATAAAATACCTAATTGTGGTGTATGTTTCTGCAGGATATATACATAACGTTTTTGTTGAATATAGCTTCAAAGGAAGTGGTTATAGTAAATGCTTATAAGGGTAGTAATAAATTATTAATTTAATTAGTAAATGATTATAAGAATTTTGAATTTAAATATGGTTAAATTATTAACGAACTTTTCTTTTCTTACAAAAGTCAGGTGATTTTGTTATCAATACTTATCAGACAAAATCCAACTAAGGTAAGTTGAGAGCAAGTATGGATTAACATTGCATAAGTATTAAGAAAGAAGCGAAAGTGTGGTTTTTAGTTTATGTAATAATTATTTTTTTGTCAGTTATTAGTTTTGTCTTGTTTATAAAAGATTACAAAATCATCGTGGGTAATAAAGTTAATTATAATTTGGAATTAAATAATTACTGTCTCAGTTCTCAGCCTTGAATCAACTAATCACTGATCAAAGTATTAAATGTTTGACCAAATGTATTTGTTTCTTACAAAAGTTTCTTTTGTTGCAGGTAAGCTTCAGTTTTTTACAATTACTGTAAAACCATTCATCATTTGCCAAGGTAGGTAGTTATAAGATATTGTCAAATATGCGCGTTTAATTAAGGATTAATTAACATATTAAAAGCTGCGGCTTAAATTAATTGATAGAAGTTTTCGAAGAAATAAACCAATCAAAAATTTAAACGAAAAAACCGCTTGGTGGGTTTCACAATATTTTAAAGTTACTAACTCAAAATTTTAGAAAGTTCGGAGATTGTTCAAATAAGTCTAGATCCAATAAATAAATAAAGTACAAAAAAATAGCTTATTCCTTTTGGATACTTAAAAAGTCCGAATCTTCATTATTCTAATAACTATTTTAGTATGTTATATTAGATTAGGTCAGTTTAAGGTTGGGTTTGGATCAGGCGTGTACCTAGGAGGGGGGGTAGGTAATGGAAGTGATAACACAATAATGGAAACAAGTGATAGTGAAGGATATATTTAAAGATGGGAAAGCTACTATAATAAGTCGTAAAATTTATTTTTAGAAATATGTATAAGGTGTAGTGACAGCAAGGAATGATAATTTTGTAAGAGGTAAAAGTTCGAACCCAGCAATTTAATGAAGAATAAATTTAGATGCATTTTAAATACAAATAAAACATAATTAAATTAAAAATTAGCCCTCCCTAATCTCAAAAAAT